AACTGACTCAGGAAGCTAGAGAATCTCAGTGAATGGCAGAGACCAGCATAGAACCAAATGACCTAATTTCCAAGTTGATGCTTCATTTTTTAGCAGAACATAGTTACTATCCATTGAAAAATTATTTACTGTTCCATAAAACAGTAATTTCTCATTCCTATTGTATGTATTTACAATAGATGATAAAGAAAAATAGTATTCAGGTAAATGTTCTGCTTTTAGTACGTGCTTATGAATCTTTCCGTAGATATTTCTAATTTATGTTCTTTTACTCTCAGATCCTAGTTTATACAGTCCCCTTTGCCTTTTCATGCTGAGAGTGCTAAGTTAGCCCTCAACTTGAAATTTTAGGAGTTTAAACACAGGAAATTTTCTGTTAAGGCCTCATGTTAATAGAATCCCTTTCCATTAAGTCTTGATAGTGCCTGGGATTGCTGACCTTGTCTAAATAGTATATCATGGCTGAAGCCTGTTATAATGGCAAAAGCAGCGGAATAAGAGTCAGGAGACCAAGGACTACTCCCCATCCAGCCATTAACTGGCTGAATAACATTTGGAAAAGTCACTCAAGCTCAACTGTACAATGAGAAGGTTGAACTAAATTACCTCAAAGACCCACTCCAGCTCCTACAGTCTGTGATTCTAATTACAGCCTGTGTTGTGTTTTATCTTTGAGAGTGTTGAGAGCCCTCATTTTTGGTGGTCTAATGACTCTATTGATAGTGGGTACGTGAAACAGTTGATTTTAAATATCTTTAAAGAGAAGTGGGCACTTACTTACTCATCAGGGCAAGGGATATATGCTAATGAAATGTGTTAATTTGTTTGCAGCTCTATTCCCAGTCTGGGAATTTAATTTCACTTAAATGGAAATTCTAGGAATACATTCCCTATGACCATATGATCAGCGGACAACTCAGCCTCAGCAGTGAACAATTCAGAGTCCATTTAGCAAATAGGATGCTGCTTCTGAAGAGTCTGCTTATCTCAGTGGAAACCATGGCGGGTACACTCTTTAAGGAGTCTCAGAATTTTAGAAATCTTTCTGAGGCCTTTTTTGAACTCCCCATTCTGTTTTTGATTTCCCAGTCTCATTTTTCTGCAGAAGTCCTTCCTCAGTGTGCTTAAATAAAGTCCTTCACATCTAGCCCTCTTGCTTTAAGAATAAGTGTGATATAACAAACAATGACATTATTATATTGTAAGAACAAGAAATAGGGAGTGAGTTATAAAGCAGAACATTTTTATTTACACAGCAGTGTTTTAATAACCAGTAAAATTTTGGAAGAGAACTAGAAAAATAGTTAAAAGATAAATGGACTTATGTTTCAATGTTATGATTTTTCACATACACTAAAGTTCATTTTTACTTTTTTTTAAATCCTTGAATTTCGGACAGGACCCTGGGAGAGTTGTTGGCATCCTTCGGTCAACACATTTGTCAGGGTATTTTCTTTTTTCAATGTCCTTCTATGGTTCTATTAAGCAATAACCTCATTAGCAACACATTCTGAGTGGTATAGTGTGATAGCTTTACCACAAAGGGGTTCTGTATTCCAGTTGCCAGGATATAACACTCTTACGACAGGGGAGAAAAAGAAAACTTGCTATGAAGGGGAAGCTTAGACATTGTTTACTCTAAATATTGGAGCTTTCCATTTGAAAGTTTATGGAGGCGAAAGAATTGTTGAATTTGGAGATTTTAAAATAAAAATCTGCAGCGAACTCTAAAAATGTTTTTACCTTGAAAACAAGTTCTATTCCCTCCGGTGAGTATTCACCTCACATAGCTTTGGATTAGTCTATAAGTTATTTTCATCACAACGACCTTTCACTAAGAGACAGTGTCACCCTCTTCTGGAGGGCAACAAATAAAACATTCTGGTCCAGGGCTAGGCAACTTGAGAACAGACTGTCAGTTGTGTGAAGGTAGGTGGACTTTTTTTTTTTTAGCCTCATTATATCAAGTCTATTTTTTGGGCTACATCAAGTTAGAGCAGTGCAGCCTCTGAAAGACCCAATCTAAATTAATCCTGGCAATAGTCCAGAAGTACTGGGAACTGGCAAATTTAAATCATTTTCAGCTTCAAATTCTTCTTTATTTTCTTTTACCTTTGGCTTTATGTCATCATACATGAGTTAAAACTATGGAAAAACATGTTATTACTGATTTTACCTCTTTGGGGGCCCTTAACTGGGTCTACACAGACAGAATGTATTACAACCAATATCATTGTTCTGTGAAGAGTAGAATATGGCAAAGAGATCAGTAAGTCTCAGACCACCATTGAAACGAGGCCCTGTTGACACAGCTAAAAAGCATTTTGTGCAGAATGCTTTTTTCTAGCCCCTACCGATGTGTCTGTTACTCTTGCACATAGCAATATGTTGAAGTGTTAGTGTCTCTTCCAGGTGTGTGTGAATATGGGGTGAATGTGGTATGGGGTGAATATGCTATAACTGAACTCAGCATATAAGGTTGAGCCATGTGAAACTGCTTTATTTTGGCAAGCTAAAACCAGTTGAAGGTCATTGCTTCATAGGGTTCAACCTAATGATAATGTTCATCTGCTGTTACCAATTAAGAGTTACTTCAGCTTGGTTCCCAGCACACTCCATTTCCAAAGCAAAGCACCTCAAAAGAGATCCAGAAGTTTCTCTGAGTCTCAGTTTCTTCATCTATAAAATGGCACTGGTAACTGTACCTGCCATGTGAGGGTATTGTGAATATTGAATATGAAGGACTTAGAATAGTACTTGTCACATAATAAGCACACAGCAAATTTAGCCATTATTAGCATTATCAGCAGCAGCATTTCACTAATTTGTCTGTTCCACAATTATTGATGGCATCTCACCACATTGCAGGCTAAGTGTCAAGCACTGGGCACACATTTGTCTGTTCCACAATTATTGATTGGCATCTGACCACATTGCAGGCTAAGTGTCAGGCACTGAGCACACATTTGGAAACTGGCTTATATTCACAACCCTAAGGAGCTCTCAAGCAAGTGCACGGGAAACTGTAACTCACTGTGGCAAGTGCTGCTGTGGGATCAGCGGGTGCGACAGACACCTACATGAAGTCTTATTTTGTCTGAATGACTAGGTAAGGCTTCCTAACGCAAGTGTTGTCTAGGCTGAAACCTTAGAGGCTGGATGAACTTAGCCTAGCAAATAGGGCCAGTCTCATCAACATGAATCTAAAGTGAGGGAAGACGAGAGTGATATGTGCTGACACCTGCAAGTAGTTAAACATACTGGGAGGAGGGGTCAAGAAGTGAAGTCACTGCTCCCCTCCTCCTTTGCACTTGTTACCCCATATATCAGCAGGTTTCATCTGTTGCCACTAAAGCAGAAATACACACGATTTCTACCAATACAATCAAGAGTTTATTTCTAGTTGCCAATCTGTATAGCTTACCAAGTAATAATGTTTTTGTCTTACACAAAAGTGTAGTCTCTAAAGGTGTTTTTTTTTTTTTTTACGTAGCAACGATCCAAGGTAGGAGTATAGACTAAAAAAAAAAAATTCTGCTTCCAGAATTAAAAAAACATATATATGAAGAAAATCTATTCATAATACCACATGGTAATAGCAATAATAGCATTGTTTTAGAAGCTGAATTAATCTAGTTATCTGAATAAACAAATGGCAGTTAACACTGGGCAAAATGTGCACATTAAGATTCAGCATGATTGTTGTGGATTATTTTTACCCTAGAGCAGAGTAAACCAGTGAATGTCAAAGATGGTATTGGTCAGATCTCTCCCAATGAGGCTGTTTCCTGGAATAGAACAATCTTGTCCTTCAGCAAATCCATACGTGATCAGAGGATATATTTTTCTTCCTGCTTTTGTCTTCTTACTAAGTAGATAGAATTTGCATGCTCAATACAGTATTTTATATTTGACACAGGTATCACAAGGAATGCCTTACACTCCTGTTATAGTTTCAGAATCTCTGAATAAAAACATTAAAAAGGTAAACAGTGAGAAGTAATATAGACACTAAAAATTAAATTAAAAATTTACCAATGAAATCCTATTGAGAACCTGAATACCTAACAAAGGGATATATTTCTTTAAAGAACCTGCTTACAGTTCAGCCTAAACATTTTTGGTTTAGTTTATGATATAGAAAATTGAATGAATTGAGAAGTATATCTTTCTCCCATATAATAACATACCTAATTCTGTACTCATAAATACTAAAGTCCCCATGATTTCTTTATTGCAGATTTTATTCTCATTTATGAGTTCCATGTTAAACTGCTAAATCAATGGAATCGTCACCTCAGCCTTAAATTAGCATAGCACATCATTAGGGAAAGCATTGCTGTACATTTAATTGCTGGTTTTAAAAGATATGTCATGTTGTCATGCCCTACATTTGTGTTCATATGTTACCATGTTTAATTTATAAGGAGTTTGTTTAATTTATAACAAGCTTCTGGGCTGCTTCCTGTTGTTCATTAGTTCACTCAAAGCCCAACTATTTGGTAATAGCTGTGGTCCTTGCTCTGTGAGAATCTGAAATATCATGATGCTAAAGTGATATAGGATAAGAGGGCGCATGGTAGGGAATTGGAAAAATAGAAGAAAAGTGCAGCATGAAATGTCAAACCACATTTTAGGGCATTTTTACTGTATTTCCATAAGTGCATGCAGGAATTATGTTGCAAATACTTGAAACTGTTTGTTTTCATTTTTGGCCTGATTTTCTAGCAGTGAAGAAACCATGTCTAATGATCTTGAGTATTCTTAAAGAAAAAGAAATTATATTTTAGCATAATGGTTTGCATGTGTGAGTTCCCCCTGGCAGAAGCACTATAATTAGTATGTTGTCTCTTGGAGAAGAAACTGTCTGTCTTAAAGATGCAATGGTCATATTTGACTGCTGAAGCTGAGTACAGAACATTGTGATTTTGTTAAAAGATAAACACCATCGCTTTTCACTTATTCATTCTCTCTCCTTCCGGCTTCTTTGGCTCAAGCAGAAACAGCAAAGGACAACTGAGTACAAACAGTTTTCTTCCTTCCTCATTCAGCAAACCATGGAGAAAGATCTTGGCTTCTTGACATTAATAACTTTGCTTCAACTCTACTTGGAACTATTTGGGCAGCTTTTCAAAAATGAAAAAGGTACAATAAAAGAGAATGAACTTCCTGTTTTACTCATAAAGTAGCAGATTCAGCAAAGGCTCACTCTCCTCTGGAAAGGGCCATATTCTTCCCTAGAGACCCAAGATTGTAGAATATTATTTCCTTGCACAACTTTCATTGAAACTATTAAAAGACAATCAGCTTGAGTAGGCGTAGAGGCAGACAGTATGAAGCTTTTCAGTCTTGTTCCTAAAGAAGAATAATGGCAGCATAAATGTTTGGCTGCCCTTTAAACAGTCAAAAATGTCCCTGATCAGAGTAAAAAGGGGAAGGCAGTGACCTAATCCCTGAGCTTGAAACAAAATAGAGAAAAGAGTTGAGCGCATATGTCTGGGGTGTGTGTGTGAGTGTGTCTGACTCTGTCTGCCTCATAGACACAGTCACAAAGTTTTGTACACAATGCCTCTGTCATAGTGACCTTTACCATGCAGTCACCTTTGATGCCTGCAGTATTTAAGGTGGATTTACCCAGCATCAAAAAGTGCATGTTTCAGGTGAGTACTTGTGACTGCATAGGGGGAGAAATAGAAGCTATAAAGAAGCCATTCTATGAATAAAGATGACAGTTTCATTAGAGACCAAAATAAGAAAAACTGCTTTCTGATTCTGTTTTGCATTAGTTTGCATTTGTTTCTGAGTGCACTCGAGACAGGATGTCTGCTACCCCTTATCTGTTACAGTGTGGGCCACAAAGACTGGGAGATGAAAAACTGCTGCCTCAGTAGAAGCATCTGCCAATCAAAACTGGCCAGCCCCATACATGGAGTGCAAGCCCATTAACGCCTCCATCCTCCACAGCAAAGAGACCCTGTGGAAGGGATTGAATTAAGAATGCGGCATTACATGACCACCTCTAGAAAGTGTGACATGCTTTTATACAACTCCCTGGGGTAGAAAGCGCCTAAGCTTTTAAATCAGAAAAACTGAGTTGTTCCTTTGGGTGTGACTGTTCTTTGATAACCCCAAAATTGCAATTTGCACACCTGAACAGAGAAGAATGAGCTCTGGATGTTTTCATTCTAAAATGTACCTCATCCAGAATATAGTTGGTGTGTCCTCCTTTTCAGTTTTATCTTTTAGATAAGGTGACTGTACTTTCAGGGATCATTACTATAGTTCATTACTAGATAAGGAGATACTATGTTATCTCTGGGGGTTTTCTTGGAACTTAAAGAATAGAGCTAATGCCATTTCATGAAATAGACTTCCAGGTATTTGAAAACAGCTCTTTGTATTTCCAGATTCTGTTAGAAAATCTTTAAATAGATTAAAGAATTGTCTAAGTGGTAAATAGACATCTGTATCTTTTATATGAATCCCATTTGAGATATATTTTAAATGCTTACATTTTTGCCTCAGCATGTTTTGGGCTATGAGCAGTGACTCAAACATAATGCAGAAAGACTAACAAAAGCCAGGAAAGCTGGGCGGGGGTGAGGGTAGGAGACCAGTAGCAAATAGGGACAAGGATAGAAACATCCACCGTGGGAAGCTATTTATTCAGGGACCTTGACCCCAGTAAGCTGTCCCTCTCTGTAATCAAGTTCAACATGGTATCATCTCTATCATCTCTTCAGTATTAGTTTTTCTTGATTGAATGCTTCTTTTCAAAGTAGATGATAAAGCATTATTCTGAGCCCTGTGAAGGGGGTGTCCTGTAGGCCAGAGAAAAACCAGGAGACCACATAGGCGGTCATTACAAGAGTCCATAGAGAGATAATGGTATAGTATATTTTGCTTTAGAAAAGTTGTTTTAAACCTGTTCATTTTTTTTTTCTGTTATCACCATTCCTTCATTTTTATGTTCTAATTTGGGGGCCTCTTCTGTTTTCACTTTTCTAATGTATTATGTGCATTTACAAGTCCTGAGTGGAGTGTAGCCATTCATTCCTTTAAGTGCCTGTGTGCTGTTCAGTGATATGACTTGTTCACTCTCCCATCTCCGTTGCACAGGCCAAGGTTAGGTAGAGAGTAAGCACTGAGCATGTATTTATAACTTGCTTGAATTAATTGAGTACATGTTTCCTATGATGATTTTAGAACTTCCCAAGGGAATCAGTGATTTCAAAGCCATATGATGTAGAGCTTGCAAACATGGGTTTTGGAACAGCTGCCTAAGTTCACGTATTGACCCTATACTATTTATTGTTGAGGTGATCCTGAGCAAGTTAAATGACCTTCTTAATAGCACTCACCTCCTTAGATTGTTGTAAGAATCAAATGTATTAATATAAGGAAAATTCTTAGAACACTGCCTAGCACAGAGTAAACACATTGTCCTTTATTATGATCATTTTTTTTAGTTTATTTTTACTCATCTCCAGAAAAAAAAAGGAGCTATTAAGTAAAATACTTGTACAATCACTTAGACATTATTTAGAAATGTTAAAGATGTCAGTGTAAATCTCAGGTTCGAACTGTTTTGAACCAGGTGGTAGAATGGAACCTCCTAAGGACGTGTGAAACAAAATTATTGCATAATGAGATGCTTCATATACCTTTCTTCTGTCTTTGCCCTAAGGTCAGCTCATAAAGACAAATATGTATGAAGTAGCATTAATTTTATGCAAGTTAACTGCTAGTTTCATGGGAGAATAAGGCAAAATACAGAGAATTTACCATGACTTTTCTTCTATGAAATTAATCTGTTCTCCAAATTAGGAAAATGGTAAATACAGCATATATTTTTTTAAAAAATTCCATTTTCATTCTCCCCTAAAAATCATGAGTGCTGTTTACTGTGAGTGGGGGAGCAGCGAGGGGATCGGAAGACAGTTAGGGAATGAGCAGAGACATGGGAGAAGAGATGCTTCTTTCTCTACTCAACTTTTCAAAGCAGTAAATCCTTCAGTTGCCTTACAATCAGAAGTTAAGTTAAAAAAAAATTGAAATCACAAGTTTATTTTATTTATTTTTTATTTTTATTACTTCATATATATGTGTGTGTGTGTGTGTGTGTGTGTGTGTGTGTGTGTGTGTGTGTATATAACATAACTTTTCATCCTGTACAATGAGTACTTTTTCATCTCGGCTGTCGTCCCCATGAAGTTTCCACCACTAGTTCACCCATGTGCCATCACCATAGTTCCTTGTGCTCTTCCCTCCTGTTTTATTCCTGCTCCCCTCTCCCCTTTGCAGAATGTAGACTCTGGTTTATATATGTCTGTTAATTTTGATATTTGCTTTATTATAATTTCTTTGTTTCTCCTGTTCCCTTATAAAATTGAAGTCTTGCTGAAATTCAGCCTCTAAAGCCATAATATGGGCACCATACTATATGTGCCATATTATATATTCACAGCTCCTGGCATAGCTTTCAGTATAGTTAATGAAGCTGAACAAGGTCTGAAAATGCCATAACCAAGCATAGTGCACAATTAGAGGAAAAAGAAAAGTGGAATTACTTGAAAGGTGAAGGAAAACAAAATGGAAAGTCTGTCTAGTGTCACCTATAATTACTTTTCCTTGGGTGCCCATTTTCCTAATTCTGACTTAAATACTTTTAAATAGTTGACTATGAGTCTTTTCCTTTCTCACTAGGATACAATAAAAATTAGAAGCAAAAGCCTTTTGCATTTCCCCAAGACTAGAAAATAGAAGATACAGTATCATTACCATGAGTTGGTCTCCAAATGTCTGAGGATGATGGATTTTCCATTTCTTTTGGCACCCAAATTTATAAGAAATGCCTTTGGGGCCCCTCTTCTTTAAACAAGGAGTCAATCTTCATCCCTTTGGCAAGTAAAGTTCCTGGAAAAGGCCTGACAAGTCAAAATGATGTGAGTCAATTTGAAGTTTTCCTATAGAAACAATGTTCAAGAGGAGTTTATATTCTTGACCAAGGGCTTGATGCCCAGCTTTTTATAGAAATAACTCCAGGCACCAAGATTTCATCAACTAAGTCAATTAAAGAAGGTACTCTAGTATTTCATAACTTAAGACTTTTATGTATTTTTACTGTAAGGTCATAGTAAACCATATGGAATCTTTTAAAAAAAATTCTATCACATTTTTATTTTAAGCAACTAAAAGGCAACAATATGCCTGCATTCATATGGAAATTTCAAAGGCTACTTGGGGAACATTTTGACAAGTTTCTTGAAGGAAACATAGAAGCCCAGTGGTGAAGGTTCTTTGAAATCATGCTTTTTCTCATTGCTAATTCTACTATTACCAGCATACATTTTAGAGAATGACTATTTTGGGAAATCACTTGAGGTGAGGTTCATTTCTTCATAATTGCCTTATGAGTCTCATTATACAGCTAGCCAAAGCTGTGGTGGGTACTAACACAGGCTTGCTTGTGGCTCTGAGCCTCATCAGTGGCCCTGCCGGACTGCCTGCCCTACAATGAAAGAGAATCTCTTGTATCCCCATGTTCTGCTCATCCCAGCCAGTCTGGAAAACTCTTTTATTCTTTAGATATTGGTATGGCTTTATTTTGTTCCTATATTTAAGAAAATTGTGTATGTGGGTGAATATACTTCAAAATACATTTATAAAGCCTTATGGAAAAATATCACTCAAATTATTGGAATTATTCCAGTGAGGCAAAATAAAAACTATTCTCTTCTATGGTCTCTGCACATGGAAAAACTCTCAAGTTCTTGATACTTATATCTAAAATTCCATCCCATGAACTAATTCAGTGTCCATGCATACCATCCATCAGTGGTCACAACTCATCATTAGATCTTGAGCTCCCCCAAAAAAGACTTGGCGTATGGGTCTGCATATTGAACATAATCTGGAGCTATACTTTTAATGAACCAACAGCTTATAATAAATATAAATGTGACTCTGCTAGTGATAACTGAAAGCCGTGATAAATGGTGGCTTCACAACATCTGTATCTGTTTTGTATACATACACATACACACACAGTATCTAAAAACAATAACAAGATAAACAGAACTTCCCCAGACTCAAAAAGAGCAAACTAATTTCAAAAAGAAAGTTCAGATTTCAGTCATAAATTT